CATTTTATCCACTGTGCCATCTAGCTGCCTAGTCACAGAATTGGTCCTGGTTAAATAAGGAATAGTGACAAAAATTGGAATGGTAGTCCCAAGGAAGTGGAGGCCGTATTTCTGAATCTTCCCTTAATGAGAAAAAAATAATGTGTAACTAACCACGAGCCTGGCTGTTTGCTGTACCTTCTTTTCTTTGGAAAAACATTATGGATGGTGTAGAAACACAGGAGGTTGCAGAAGCAAGGCATCTCCATAGAAAACTGTAGAGTTCTCCTCTGTCCTCGAGTAAAGAAGTATAGCTAATATTTTTCTTCCCTACTAGGATTCCAAGATGATAAGACTGGCAGAGGGGGTTAGGATGATAACCAAGGACTGTGGGGCGGGGGGAGGGGGGAATAAAGGAAAAGGTGAGCCTTTGTCTCAGAAGTTTGCCCTGAGGAGAGGAAGAGGACTTCTGTATCTCTTAAGGAACATTCGCCCTACCTTGTTTTTTGGTTTGGTTTTTTTGTTTTGTGAGGCAGTTGGGGTTAAGTGACTTGCCCAAGGTCACACAGCTAGTGAGAGTTACATCTGAGGCTGGATTTGAATTCAGGTCCTCCTGACTTCAGGGCCAGTGCTCTATCTACTGTGCCACTTACCTGCCCCTGCCCTGCGTTGTTGAGTTTATTTCATTTCAAGTCAAAAGCAAACCCACGTATCCACACTATCTACCCAGCAATAAAAGCAGTCTAGTTGGTTGGCACTCCTCTTTTGCTCTTTCTCTTGGGAGCCAGGGTGAAGAAAGAGGAATGGTGGAGAAATTCCCCAGGGGTCACCAGGTGGCCATCTTCTCTATAGCAGTAAAAGAGTTCATCTGTTTTCAGTCTGTTGGAGATATGTGTCATTTTGGGTAACCATGCTTTGTGTTTAACTGAAGATAGACTCAGATTTGTCCATCTTTCTGTCCACATAGAAATCACTTTTACCAGTTTGGTGAGATCCGAACAATAACAGTTGTGCAGAGGCAGCAGTGCGCTTTCATCCAGTTTGCCACGAGGCAAGCTGCAGAGATGGCTGCTGAGAAGTCCTTCAACAAACTGATTGTAAATGGGCGCAGGCTTAATGTGAAATGGGGCAGGTGAGATTCGTGTTTATACTTGTCTTTTAACAAGTTTGTTGTTGGTTTTTGTTTGTTTGGTTTTTTGAGAGACTGCAGTGTAGTGAGCTGTATATACAAGCTTAGAATGTCAGCATTCACTTCTTTGAATATTGGTGGATTCAGGGGTAGCCTAGAGAGCAGTAGTAGGCAGTGTTTTTGTGTCTTCTTGCTCAGCATCATATGATGGTTTTTATTTTGTTGTACGTTGTAGATCTCAGGCAGCCAGAGGAAAAGAAAAGGACAAAGAAGGAACCACAGACTCTGGAATTAAGCTGGAGCCTGTCCCAGGACTTCCTGGAGGTAAGAATGTTTCTATTCCATTGCTTGCTGGAATATTAATAACAGCCGGCTTGTTGCTCTGAATAGTAAATAAATTTCCCCCGTGACAGGTAGCAACAACTTCTAGAGCTCCCATTAGTAAAGAATAGAAATAATGGGAGGAAGCAGTGGTTAAATACTCCCATTTTGGCTTTCCTGCACTGAACATTATTGTATCTAACTTGTGTCATTCTCTTCTTTAGCTCTTCCTCCTCCTCCAGCAGCTGAAGAAGAAGCCTCTGCCAATTATTTTAACCTCCCTCCCAGTGGTCCTCCAGCAGTGGTTAATATTGCTCTTCCCCCTCCTCCTGGAATTGCACCTCCTCCCCCACCAGGTAAAACCTTCCTTTACAAAAGTTTCTCTATCGGCCTCTAGCCCAGAAGATAAGGGACTTCTTATAGTCCTGGGTCTGCCTGGGTCTGTCCTCAATTTCCTTCCCTACAAAATAAGGTCCTTCCAGGTCTAAGCTCCTTCCAGTTCTAACATAAGATTTTAGAATTCTCTGATGGCTCTTTATTCCTTCTAGAATAAAATATGAGCCCCCTGTTTGGACTTTAAAGCCCTTCACAGCCTGGCCCCAACCTACTTTTCTTACACTCTGCAGTCCAGCCAAAGTTGATAGGGTGCTCCATCTCCTGCCTCCATCCCTTTGCACTGGCTGTTCCCCTCTCCTCAAGCACCACCTCCTACGTGAAGCTTTTCCTGATTCTTTCTTCTAGGTGCTAGAGCTGTTCCTGCTGTTTTTTATTTTTACTTATTTTGCATAAACTGAGGGATCTATCATCTCCCCCTTGCCCTTGTGGGCTCGGACTGTTTTATTTTTGCCACAGAGTAGACACTTGATAGGTGCTTGTTAATTGATCAGTAGAACCCCAGTCAGTCCAGATTTTTATGCTAGTTTTGTTTCAAAATACAGCATGACACATAAAAATTATCTCATCAGTTAATTGATCTCTACTTTGTTTTATAAATCACAGTCTGCAACACTATCCAAAAGAATGGCCCTTCCCTGAAACCAAATCTTCAGTTTTCCTTTATAAAGTGTCTGTTATACACAGGGCACAGAACTGGGTGTTGTGGGCACACCGTCCTCATGTTTGCAGCTTAGAGGATACTAAAAAAATGCTACCAGTTAAAGAATATGCAAATGCTTTAAGTATGAAGGAAGAGATTGCTTCTTGGACGTGATTGGCATCTTAATAAGGAGGATATAGAAAGGTCTGGAAGAATATCATTGGGTCATGTCTTATCTTCTTGTTCCCCTACTTCCCCAAATACCCACACTCTCCACTTACCACCACATCCTTTGGGTTTATTTTACAGAACTCCACAAAGTTAATCCTGACCTGCTGATATGTTTATTTTCTTTCTGTGCCTTCAGCTTTCCTGTAATATCACCAAGCCAGCTAATAGTTTTGCCATAATGTGTGCTTACTGGTTTATTCAAGGTTCTATATAGGACTTTGCTAACATCCTGTAATGTACTGCTTAATAGACATCAGGAAAATTTGGTGTATAACAAATCTTTCTTTGGCTATAACTCTAAAACTTGTTAAAAAAAAAAATCTTATTCCAGTCTGCCATTCAAAATTGCAGCTAGTGAAAGAGGCTTGGATCAATTTTAATGTCATCCCCAAGTCCTAATCAAACCTTGCCTGGCAGACTGCTTCAGGCTACTCCTGCTCAGGAAGCCTTGAACTCTAGGTACCCAGAGGATGACTTTCAGCCCCATCAGAATCATAGGAGGAGAAAAGCTGAGAGAGAACAAGTAGGTGGATAGACATCTTTAATTCTGGAAGCTGTCTTGGAAGTCAGTGTTTCATTAGGCTTAGTTTGGTTTACATATTGCTGCTTTAGACTGGGAGAGAAATGAAAATTATCAAAGATTTTCAAGAGAGCTGAAAATTGACACATCTGTTCCTTCCCATCTGCAGGTTTTGGACCACACATGTTTCACCCAATGGGACCACCACCTCCCTTCATGCGAGCTCCAGGACCCATCCACTACCCATCTCAGGATCCCCAGAGGATGGGGGCTCATGCAGGAAAGCACAGCAGTCCCTAACATCCTGCTACAGTGGTTGGGCTCTGAGGAGGAAAGGCGCTTTAGAAATGTAATAAATAAATCTTGGAGTAAATATTTTTTTCCTTTGTAAGTTTCCCTGGTAGCATATAACATGCTAAGATATGGGCAAACAGAGAGCTGGAACTGTGTTCCTGAGCACGGAGCAGGTGGAGGAGCCCTGCTAACCTGATAGTAACAAATATGGTCACTAACGTAACAGTGTCCTTTGCCTTCTTAACCACACAGGAAAAAAGAGGGTCAGAGTGAGGGTGGAGCTTCTAGGAACCTTAAGGAGAGTTGGGATTCTAATTGTATGTATTTCTTTGTGTGTTTGGGGTTTGACAAACTTTGACCTGGGGTGAAAGCAAACGTTTGACGATATTTTTGAAATAATTCTTTTGCTTGTCATTAAGGAGATTCGTTATTATTTCCCTATCACCCAAGGTCAGGCTTTGAAATCAAACACCCCTAGATATTTTCTTTCCTCTTTTGTCCTCCTCTTGCTAAAGGAACCTCTGCCAACAGAACAAAACCAGCTTCTTTTCAGTCTTAGGAAAGCTTTTGCTTATGTTCTGCCATCCAAAGTGGCCGATCTCTTCACAGAACTTTGTGGCCTGCATTGCTAATTTATGCCTCCTCTCATGAGAGAGAAGTTAACGTTTCTAACTGTGAAATGAACAAACCTTTTGTTTTGTTTGTATGGGTGAGCTGTGACTTATGGAGGGATCTTTGTTGGACTTGCACCTTCATGTGTTTCTATCTGATTTTCTGCTGCTGCATAGGAGGCTGTCTATCACTTTTCTCGTTATAGAAATGTTGCTTGGATGTAACTGAATTGTAGACAAGTGGAAAAGGTAAAGGAAATGAGACCTGTTCTCAATTTTAGAATTTTTTTAAAAAGCTATTAAAATGGGCCAGTTTTTCCACATGTTGTCATGAGCATATTTCCAGTTTTCTGTAGCGTTTTCTTCCATCTTTGGTGGCTAGTGTCTGTGGGTTAATGGAAGCGACCCCAAAATTACCCATCTCTGAAGTGCATTTCTATAGCACTTTTTTGCTTTTCAAGGCACTTTCAACTCTGCTTGAATTTTATCCTCATGAAACAGCCCTGTGGGGAAGGTAAGGAAGGGATTCTTCTCCCCATTTTCTAGGTGAAACCTAGGATATGCCAATGTGACAGTCATAAAGCCTGCTTACTGATAATTGGCTTCCTCTTAGTCTGCACAGATCTTGTAGTTGTTTAAAGGGAGCATCGTGGACTTTTCTCTCCAGAGTCTTTGGTTAAAAATCTCAGTTGGGTTTCAGGTGTGTTGAATGGATAATATTGTTTCACCTATAAATTGAGATTTGCATCTGTGCTCTACCCAACACCTTATTTTTGCCTGGCAAGATGTACATTCTTAAGTAACCAGTAGGACTAGAGGCTCTCAAGTTTGCATTTCTTTAAAATGCTATGAAATTTTCGTTTAGATGGGTATATTGGATTTTTCTGATGAGACTGTTCCTTAGACTAAGAAAAGAGAAGCTCGGAGCTGAACACAATGGCCTCCACACACCTGTGATCAGACACCGAGAGAGTTAAGCATATGCGCCATTTGTTGTAGAGGAGATTGAATTTCCTTTCTGCCTTAGCCAGGATACTCTCAAAATTCTTTCCCTCGAATGTTAAAGAGGCCTTTGGGTCAGAGAATCAATAGAATTTGTCCACTGGCATTAAATGGTAAACTGTGCTACCAAAGGCAGCATATGCTTGCACAAAAGCTAATTGTCTTCCTAGGCCTTTTTCTAGTTATATTGCTACAGTCAGACTTAAGAACCAACCTCTAACCATTGAGTGTCTCAGTCTCACAGTGGATAAATTTTGCTGCTCTGTCACTTTTTACTAGGATAACTCAGTACCAGCATAGGTTACACATAAGTCTTTCTCCCTTTACCCTTTCCATCTCCCCAGCATATGTGACATCTATTTTAATAATTGGTCTCCACTTCATGGGCAAAGAACTGCTATCTTAAATACAGAGCTAAGCATAGAACTTCCTGATCCATTACAGTAAGATGCAGTGAAGGTACAGAAAGGCCCGCAAGAAAGGAATTCCATTCATGCATCTTCTGCAGTAGGGCCTAGCAATCATTCTCCCGTTTAACTGCGAATTCTGAAATCAAATACTGTTTCTTGCCAGGGGGAAAGGGAAGTAAAGTTCACCTGGCAGACTTGGCCCATTAAGAAGGTTGATACATCAGTGAGAGACTTTCTTTGTCCTATGGGCTTAGGTCGTTCCATCACCCACAGGGATCTCACGGCATATTTATGGAAGAATTTTTAAAGCTGCTTTGCTATAAAAGTAACATCTTTCTTGAGCATTGTGCTACAGTTTTTAAAAAACCCACTAAGGCAAGGCTTGGGCTATCATTGATTAACCCTATTTTGTTTAGACTAACTTTCTTTCCTTCATTTTCCTACTTTGCTAGGGCCCATAAGAACCTCAGTTTGGGAGTAAGATAGGACCCAAAGTATACGGATCTCTCACATGAGAGGTAGAGTTGGACTTCACTTATGCAGAATTCAGAATGTGACCCGTGGCAGAACTACTGGCATGTGTAACCAGTGTTAGTACACTATCTCTGTACCTACTAACAGGATAATAAAGCAAAGCAGTAGAAATACAGGAATTAATATCAAGTCACAGTTCCTCAGACTCCAGAAGGGACCGCACCCAGCCTTGGGCTACTCGGTTGAAACTAGGTCTGTAGCTGAGGAGATCCAGGCCACTTACGGGCTCTTTAGGGATGAGGGGTGTATCCGTTTTGGGGAATGTCTCAGAGATGAGGGGTCCTCCAAATGGCATTGGTGTCCTAGGAAAACAAAAAAATAAGATCTGACCTTTGTATGAACCATGACTGAGCCATCATTGACAGACTGTATGGTTTTGTAGGGGAAAGAGAGGAGATTTCTCTGGTAGTAGAGATGGATTTTGCCAAGTTATCCACATGCCAAGAGTCTGTGACTGTCACACAGAGTACTGGTCAGAAAGAGACTTGAGTTCTAATTCCAACCTCTGCCACTAACTCATTGTGTGACTTTAGACAAATCATTTTCCTTCTCTGGGACTGGACTGTCCCATCTACAGAAGAAAAAATTAGAATTGCATGATCTGTAAGGTCCTCTTATCTCCAAGGCATTTTGTAACATTCTTTGTTCTACATACCAAGGCCCTTCCAGATATGACATTCTTTGTCTCTAGAGTTTTCTTATGTGCAAAACTCACTATCCAGATTATCACAGTGTTTTAATTGGTGGTTAAAATAACTGGCAGATGAAGCGTTGGTGTTTCTGGAATGAACTTAGGAGGGATGGAAAAGAAGCCTTTCCTGCTTCACATTGCTTATTCTTAGACAAAAATAAACAGAAACCCTGGAGAAGAGAAATGTACTATGCATGCAGTCTTTTTCTCCCACTGTTTTTGGGCAGGTAGGAAAATTTCCTGATTAGAAACGAAAAAACACTGTTGACTTTTCATGGTGAGCCTACAAATAGCAGGTTTGGGTAGCTCATTCTTCCAGAGCCCCATGTTACTGGCCAAAGACAAATTCTCACCTGATCAGACCTAGCCACAGTAAGATTGAGAGCTGAAAACTAGTGCCCAGAAGAAATCTTAGCTTAGGCAGAGTGTGCTCTGGCCTATACTTCTACTTTAAATGCAGCAATGTGATTGCTCACAGCAGTAAGCTTAGAGATTTTCATCCTAAGCACTGGGAGTTAGGTGTGGGTATTGACTGTCTGTTTAGAGTTTTAAATAGAAGAGCAGACAGAGCAGTGAAGGGCAGCACTTCGCAAAGTTGGTATTAACATGAGGTGAGCACATCCTGTGTTAAAGAAGAAGCCATGTCACCTGTCTTCCATTCCCCCAAAATTTCACAGGTGAGCACCATACCATTATGCCAGCTTGGGTTTGGTCATGATATATGACATCCTCATAGCTGGGGAAATGGAAGAAGGAGGGAAGGGAGGAACTGAAACACTCCTTATTGTCCCAGCTTAAAAGGTAGCCAAACTAAAGCCCGAAGAGTTACTGTTTCTGTCACCTTTTTCCTCAAACTCTAGCTCATCCTTCTGGGACAGCTCATGCTCAGGAAGCAAAACACCATCCCTAGATAAACCTACCCAATATATTCTACGTGAGCTATAATTTAAACAAGAACATATTGATCTCCTGTATGTATAAGGCCTTTTTCTTAGTACTTGGGGGGGAAAGATGAGGAAGATGTGACACCTTGGTTGTAAGGAGAATAAGACATGGGCATAAATCAGGACAGTACATGATAAGAGACATAAAAGTAAGTGCCAAAGAAAAAGTGCCTTGGGCTGGGGGAATTTGGGAATCTTTGATAAGGTTATAGATTTTAGAGCTGAAGTGTCCTTAGAGGCCATTTCAGCCACGGCCCTCATTTTACATTTCACAGAGGAAGGGGCATTTAACCAGGGCCTTGAAAGATAGGATTTCAGTAGGCATAGATCGAGGGAAAGTAGAGAACAAGGACAGTCCAAGTGAAGGGAACAGTGAGCAAAAGCAAGGCAAAAAAGCGCTATTGGTGTCCTCAGGGAGCAAGGGAGCTTCTAGATGAGTGAATGAAACATGGTCTAAGAGCTTCCTGTGTGCAAAGCATTGAGGGTCCAAATAGAAAAGTGAGCCAGTGTTTGCTCTCCAGGAGCTCACGTTCTAATGGGAGAGAGAACACATGGGGAAGTTTTCAGCTGTGAGACAGATGCAGAAGTGCCATGGTCTGTAGGGTACGGCAGTGAAGTATGTTTTTTAATTTGGCTAATGTATAGAATAAAGAACAGCAATGATAGTCTAGAAAGATTAACATGCTGGAATTTAGACCTCCTTTTACAAAGGAAGAATTTAATATCACAGCTGGAAAATCCCGGATTGGGACTGGAGTTTGGGCTTAATCTGAGTCTAGGGCTGAGTCAGTCTTTGACCAGCTTAGGAAATTATCCTGTGGCTACAGTCACGACTCTGGCTGGAGATGGCAAATGAAACAACCTCAAGGAGAAGGGACGTGTTATCCTGCCCTCATTAGGTATGCATCCTGACTTCCTCTAAACTACTTGGTTACAGACATATCCATCCTTACTTGTTGAAATTCCTGTAGTCTGAGGGAAAGGGTGTGTGGTTTAGGTAGTCCTTGTAATAGTCCTTGTATCCATCCTTATAGCCGATGAACTCTTGCCACGGAGACTGGTAACCCTTGGGGATGGCTGTGTGATTGAACTTCTCTGGTGGGATGCCTGTCAGGGGTTTGGAATACCCTGTGAGGGATAATGGTAGGTTGTGAGAGGTTAACTTAAAGATGGAGAGACAGGGGAAGTGAGGGACTCCTCTTCCTTTTCTTATTTCCTCCACTGGAGGCCAGAGTGCTTGACCATGCTCTGTCACCAGCTAGCCCTGGGATATCTGTCAGGTTACTTCCCTTCAAAAGGCCTTCAGGTTGGAGATAATTATCCCAAAAGTTTTTCCTTGCCTGATGATTGAAGTGTCCCAGGGGGATAATTACTCCATCATATGAAAAGTCCTATGTCTATCACCCTTCAGTCAATGATTTGTTCATGTGTGCTCCCTCCACTGACACAAATCACGAACTCTCGCGTTAGTAGATGACTGTGGCCACAAGAAAGGAGTCATCTGTGGTGACGAGCCTTGCTCTACGTTTCTGCTGCCCTAGCCTTTGGAAGAACGGGGGCCTTTCCACGAGACGGTGAAGCATCAGAGGACTTTGATGCAGCGCTACACACAGGCCAGAGATGCTGTTCTGTGCCAGCGTACCCGCGTCTGCCTCCATGTAGCTCCTAGCACAGTCTGGTGGAGACTGCTCCATCTCTCTCTCCAGCAGCCCCACTTAGTTTGTTCTCATTTTACAGAGAGGAAAGGAAGCCCAGGCAGGACAAGTGATCAGCCCGAGGCCTCTCGTCAGGGAGGTGGCAGGATTTGAGCCCACAGCCTGTCCCAGAGGCCCTATGCCAGGGGCCAGAGGAACAGTGAGTCACACAATGGGAGGACCCCAGGCATAAGAGAAGAGTTCGTGGAAAGGCCAGATCACAGCCCAGGGGAAGTTACAGAAGCCGAATTAGTCACAGGTGGAAGGAAGCTCTGCATGTCTAGCCCATCCTCCTTCCCCACTCGGGGATCCTCTTCAGCATCCTTGTCCAGCCTTTCCTTGGACACATCCCAGGGAAAGGAAGTTGATGAGGTGGTCTTTCTGCATTTCCTCTGACTTCCTCAATCCCATCCCATGTCTTCTAGGACAGATGGCCCAAGCCTTCCCCATTGTGGAAGTGAACAGAGTAGTCACAAACTGGTGGGCAAAGGGCAGATAGCCTACAAAGAGCCCAGTCCCTCATTTGTCTCCTACTGAACAGAATGCCTTCTTCCCCTGTATCCCTCCTCCCCCCCCCCATTTTTCTAATCCACTTTACCATTAAGATCTCCCTCTGCTCCAGAGTAAAGTTCCTCTGACACTCACCCTCAAACACCCTCCCTCATGTTACGTGTTGTTGTTACACTCCCTCCAACCTCCCAGAGAAGTTGCCAACTCACCCGAGGCCAGGGCACTGGGACTAGGAGCCCTTCCTGGGGGTAGTTCCTGACTGCTCCTCTCAGACCCAGGAGGTGGGGTAGGGAAGATTTGGATCTCCGTCCTGTAGTTCTCCTTTCCATCTGGGCCACTGGCAGGCTGAGCACAGGACAGGACCCCTGAGGGAGCTGGCTGGGCTCCCTCTACTCCCACTCCCACCCTCAGAGGATAGCCCTGGTTTCCCAAAGTTTGGAGTCCTTTCCTCTAGAGACAAGCTCTACTCACAGCCAACTCTTCTGGTGGTCCTGCTGATGATGTGGTTCCCAGATCCCTTCCTCTACTCTCTGAGACTGATCTCTGGCAGAAAGAGATGGGTGTGACTGGGGGAAGAATCCTGCCTGTTGGGAGTGTCTGACCTTTCTGCAGGGTCCCATCTTCTTCACTGGCTTAAGTTCCCCAATAAAAGACACTGGGTCTGGGATTTTTTTCCTGCCTTCTTCCTTTGCTTCCCTTCTGCCCTCCAAAGTGAATAGCGCTACATGGGAATCACTGGGTTGTCCTGGAAGCCCTCCAATCCATCCCCATGTCTTCAGGGAGGTCCACCCCATCTTCTCTGAATTCAGCTCCCCAGTGTAGAACTTAGACAAGTCCACTTGCCCTATGTCCAGTCCTAGGATCAGATTTTTAGCTGAAAGATGTCAACTGATCCAATCCCTTCGTTATCGAAACTGAGCCAAGAGAGAAAGACCTTGGGGCAGCTAGGTGGTGCTGGATTCAGGAGGACCCGAGTTCAAATGTGGCCTCAGACACTTGACACTTACTAGCTGTGTGACCCTTGGCAAGTCACTTATCCCCATTGCATAGCCAAAAAAAAAGTATTTTGCCAAAAGTCACACAGGTAGTGACTAAACCATGATTTGAACTTGGGTGTTCTGATTCCAAATCCAGCATTTTTCCCACTCTTCCACACCGCTTCTTCTGTCTCCCCCTCTCCGAAGAATCATGGAGTCGGCCCTAGGCTTCTAGGAGGTTATGCCAGTGGTGTCAGATGTCTGACAAGTCCTGTAAAGCTGGAAAGGCTTTCAAGGCAGACCCAACAATTGACAGCGTCTCTCATCTGAGGACCAGCTCAGCTAAGTGCAAAGGGGCTCATTCCCAGAGGGTTGGCCACAAGGTGACTGAGGTGTAGAGGGGTTGTGATCTGTGCTGATGTAAAGAGTAGCCACAACAGTGACATCACAGATCTTTGAATTAGAAGTAAGTAAAGGTAAGGACACCAGAAATTAAAAAATCAGAAACCAAGGGAAATGTTAAATATGAAAAAAAAAAAAACAGGTGAGAGAGGGGGGCCCAGGGTGGAAAGGGAACAGGTCTTAGGGAAGGGGAGAAAGTAATCCTCAGCCTTCACAAAATGGGGCTTGGTGTATAGTGATTGCTTAATAAGTGCTTGTTGATTTGATTTGACTGGCCCTACACCCCAATCCTCTTCCCCTTTACAGGTAAAAGTCTTAATACTTTCAGCTAAGGGAAAAGGCAGGCTATGTCCCACCCCTAAGCCATGTGTTTACCTTCAACTGCTGATCTCTGTCACCCTTTAAGTTTTACAAAGGGCACTGAAGGATCGATGATCCAAAGACTATCCATTCTGTGGATGTTGAAAGACCCAAGTAAACTCAAGACCACCCTACTAATAAGTGTCAGAGCCAGAATTTTAAACCTAGTCTCCTGACTCTAATTCCAGGTCTCCTTCCACTGTAATGAAAGTCTGGGCCCAGAGACCCCTCCAGGCTAGAGTCTAGGAAACTCCTGAGATAATGGGTGCAAATGGAAGAGAGGCTAGTGGGGTTGTACTCACCTGTGTCTGCTTGGCTGCATACTCAAAGGTGAACCTCTGTACTCTCTTCTGTCTCTTTTGGAACAGGAGGGAGCCCTTGTTAGAATGGAGAGACAGCTCCTCCATCATGAGGTCCTGAGGAACGCTCACCTTCTTGCCCAGGTCCAGACAAGGGACTGTTAGAAGAAGGCCAAAATCCTGCTCTCTTTTGTTGACCATAGTGAGACTGACTGTCATAGTGATACTGTCATGTCACCTGTTACTCCTTGTGACCAAGTTCACTGATTAGACAGGAGGCAGGGCTCAGTCTGAGACCAGTGTTAGGGTTCTATCTATGGCCAGGGTTAGGACTCACTGAGTTTTGGGTTCATAACTATGTCCTTAGAATTATATTTTGTATGTCAAAGGCACTGCCCCAGCATCGTTGAAACCTGTAACCTTTCACTTGACACCAGACCTGGACCAAGGAAACTCTTTACCCACCAAAAACCTGTATTGGGGGCTGACCTCCATCTCCCAAAAGAAAGGGACTTGTTCCTTGGCTTGAGGATAGAAGATTCCTGATGACAGGAACCATATTATGGAGGTATTCAGGGTAGTTCCTGGCACACGAAGAGATGTCAATAAAAAAAAAAATTCGGTCACTTCAGCCCCATTTTAAGGGAACTCATTCAGGTCTAAGGTTTACTCTAGAGGACGGGACAGGATGAAATTTGTCAGCTATGTGGTTCCAAGATTTAGTTCTAGAACATAAGGGTCTTGGGGACATTGTGGAATGGGTCTTACCATCCTTCCCTTACCTGCTTCCATGAAATCCTGTGCTTTGGCCATTGTTAATGCCTTTTGCTCCCGGGAGGACTTCTGCGAGAAGAATCCTACAGGCAGGGTCAGGAATTTGGAGACAATAACTCAGTCCTCATTGTCCCTTGCCGCCTCCACCACTTGCTTTCCCATCCTCTCCTGGCTTAAGAATTCCTCAGACTAAACCCCAGTCCTGTCCTCAGCTCGTTCCCTAAGGATGGAATATATCAAGGAGTGCTGTACACACAGTAGGCATTTAATAAATATTTGTGGAATTATTCAGATGAAGCCTGTGTCTAAGGGCTAGTTCATTTTCCAGGATTCCTAGCCCCGGTGGCTAAGACTAAACTATTTTCCACTGCCAAAATTCTTGCTTAGGCACTTTATGGGTCTTTGTTAACGGTATTCCTAAATCTGGGAAGAGAGCTCTTTATCTTGGTATAGAGGTAGAAAGGGTTTCCAGTGGTATGTCACCCCGTGAAGAAAATAATGGATTGGGGGGATGAAATGGGTATCCAGTTAAATTATTTTTCAGCATGTAGAGAAAAGCTATTGTGATCTAATAGAAAGAACACTGGACATGGAGTTCAGATCCGCATTGAAATTTTGGCCATTTATTAGCTCTGTGACCACGGGCAAATCACTTCATCACTTTGAACCTCAGTTTCCTCATCTTTGAAATGGGGATCAGAGCTGGTGCTACTTCATCCCTCTCAGTGGAAAAAGGAATGGTAATAATGGGAACTGACATTTGTATAGCGCTTCAAAATTTGCATAGTATGCTTCACATACCTTTACAGATGAGGCAACCAAGGATCAGAGAGATTAAGTGATTTACCCCTGAATTAGTGAGTCACAGGTAATATTTGAACCCAGATCTTCCTATCTCTAAGTGCAGTGCTTTCTTTACCACACCTCTCTGCTTAGATGGTGATTACTAGGACTGTGTGGGTAGGACATGCTCATGCCCTCTATTGACTGGGAGGCTGCCTGATTGAATGAAAGTGTGCTTGACACTGTAAGCTGAAGGAACATGTTACATCCATAGTGATCACCTAGGACACTCTGGGATCCGGGGAATCATGACTGGCAACAAAGCAGTGGTGGAGGGAGGGGAGGAACATGACTTAAGCTAGCTAGGACCTTAGATAACATCCAACCTGGACCCAATTATCTTTAATATAAACTCTTGATTACTTGCCACCATAGTCTTGATATTATTTTGATACTACTCTTTTCTTTGAGAATAAACCCTATAAAATGCACATTTCAGTCTGGAGTGTGTTGAGGTAGCCAAAAGAGAACACAAGCAAGGATCAGTAAGTTAGGGCTTGGTAGCAGGAGCAGAAGAACCAGTAATCGGGTTTGGAAGGTCTCAGAGCTGAGGGAACTAAGTAGGCTAACAGACCAGGAAATTCAGAGGCTCGTTTTCTTGAGCCAAAAGTTATAGGTTAGCGAGGTCTAGAATAGAGTAAGGGGGAATCTTTGGGTCAGTTCTAAGAGGAAACTGAGGTCTTCAGAATCTCAGAAACATAGGGCAATCCCTTATGTACCCTGTGGGCCATTTCCCAGATGGATGAAAATAACCATAATATGGGCTCTTAGTCATTGGTCCCGTGGCCTGAGCCTCTGGGATGGAGGCAGAAAGACATCCAGGTTCTGGGCAGTAGGAGGGGAGATGTGGGCTAGAGGCACTTCTTATCTGCCAGCCCCTCACATACATATCAGGATTATCCCAGGCTCTGAGCCAGGAACTCGGGATACATAAACTATAGCAGCTTGTATTTAGGGGTGGCAGACCAGTGGTGAGACCCAAAACCTTCCCTGTCTCCAAGATTCTGGGACCCAAGGAGGCAGAGTGCTGGGCTCCTAAGGGTGGGTTTAATACCCCTCATTTTATATTTTGTCATCCCTGTCTTCATCCCCATCTCTTCCGCTTCATCCTGCTCCTGTTCTCCTCTTACCTCCTCCATCTGTTGCCATATCAAGCCACTCTCCACCTGCCTCATACAACATGGCTGCTCAATAAATGGTGATGTTGATGGGTGGTGTTTCCCATCCCATTGAAGGAGAAAACTGAAGCACAGGGATGACTATTCGCTTTGTCCAGGCTGCAGAAAACCAAGGCAGGCACCAAACCAGTTCTCTCTAGCCCCCTGGAAGAACCACTTTCTCCCAGTTACCGCACCGAGATCTGGGCTCCTTCCTTGCTCTGTTCTCCATTTCCCCCCTTCTCTCAGTCCCAGCTCTGTGTTCTATTTCTCAAAGCATACAACCCCAAACAACCTCATTTTCTCCAATCACTCCCCCATACCCTACAATTGTTTTTTCTCTTTTTAAGGGAGTCCAGGTCTCACTTAATCCAGTAACTCACTTTGTAGCTTTTCCTATCATCTACACCAGAGGCAAAGTCCATACTCATCACACCCTCTGCAGAGCCGTCATCCTTCACCCTGCTTTAAAGTAGGAGTAAGGGCTCCCTAAATATAGAAATATCTCCCATCCTCATCCCTGGAGCCCCTGGTACCTGAATAGGTGGACACACGTCTGGCTGGGGACTGTTCAGGGGCCAGAAGGAACAGTGACGGGCCCCGAGTTTCTGCGCAAAAGGATGACCAGGTCCCAGGCAGCAGTCCTTAATGTGCGTGTCCCTCTGCTGGCTCAGGGTTTCAGCTGACACTGTGCAGTTATATTTGCATATGTCACAGTCTTATTTCGGGCTGCGACATGAGCTGGAGCCAGATGCTAAAAGTGTTAAGGCGTTGAGGGAGACAGGTGGCTTATCTGTACAGGCCCCTGGGAGCAGTCAGGAACATGGTCACATCACAGCCCTGCAGGCGCCCAGGATGATCAGAGAGACACACAGAGGCAAGCATGTCTTTGGTATAGCAAGGTTAAAGAAAGACACTCTCTAGATAGAGTTGTTGGTGCCAGATAAGAAATACTGAAAAAGGTGAGTTGTAGGTTGAGATCGTATGAAGGAGTGCTCCCCACTCACAGAGGTTCCCAGAGTGAGCAATAGAGCGCCCCTAGGGGGCGCTGGAATGATCCGGGGGGGTAATAGTAGCCTTGGTACAATTGGGGGGCATTGAATAAAAATAAGGGGGTGGTGGAAGCATAACGAAAGAAGAGAGGATAAGAAAATTTTGAAAAACCGTTCATGTTTCATCTGTTGTGGAACAGAGTTAAAGTCATAATGATTACATTATTTTCCAAATACATAAAATGCAAGTTATAGCCAATCAAGTTATAACCAGTCAAGTCCACCAACAGGTTTTTTTAACAAGCAAGTGTTGGCAGGCAAGCATGTCGTGCATTGTCGGGAAGTCCAGGATGCAGCCGCAGGAATATGTGTGTATGATGACTTGTTTACAATACTATTTTACAATACTGCATCATCAAAATTTCAATGCAGAAACCACAAATTTACAATGGATTATTAAATTTAAGGTGTGTCATTTTGAAAATACATATCTTACATTTTTTTGAAATGACGCAAATTTTAAAACCTATTAACGGGGTGGGGGAGGCGCTGAATAATTTTTTTTTTTGAAAGGGGGCAGTAGGCCAAATAAGTTTGGCAACCTCTGTTCTAGGGAGAGAAGGTATGTATGTCTTAATGCCTCTATACATTATCTAGACAGAAATTAAGTTATCAAAGACTCATGGATGATGAGAGCTGGAAGGGACCTTAGAGATCATCTTGTCCAACTGGTTTTGTTTTACAGACAGGGAAACGGAGGAAGGGACCTGCCCAAAGTAATGATTGCCACAGCATCCCCCTTGTGACTCACAGCACAGATAGCCTATAGCAAGGGAACAGTTTTTCCTGTGAGCAAATCTGACTAGATTGCACAGGTGGTCCTTACCTATGATTTGCCCTAGGACAGAGAATGGGAACTAGAGAGGCAACGTAGCTTAGTGGAAAGTAACCTATATTTGGGCAAAGGACCTAGGCTCAGATTGTGGTTTGGAGTCTCACTGTGTCAACTTGGACATATTAGGCCCTCAGTTTCTTAATCTATAAAAGGAGGTTTATTAGATGATTTCTAAGCCCACTTCAACTTCTGTGTTCAAATGCATTCACTTCATTCCATTCCATTCAGACATCATCACTGGACCCACAGCAGTCCACGAAATAATCAGCCTGTGTTAGTGAACAAATTTATCATTACAGTAATCCCTTCCATGTCATGACTTTCCCCATCACGGCTTCAGTATGTGATGGGCCGGCATAAGAAATTAGATAGGAATTTTGGGGGAGTTTTGCAGAAGCCACAGACAACACAGAAAAAGTTTAGAAATTCAGAAATGCATAAAATATACATATAGTATTGTGTGATATCAACCCAAATTTTACAATAAGGTACTGTAAATATTCCATAAAAGAAAAAAAAATTCAGACGTCTCTGGTACAAAAGGAGGGCCAAAATTTTGCACAAATTTTCTAAATTGCAGGGGTGCCACGCCCCTGTCCCCACAATGTGGAAGGGATAATTGTACTTCTATCCAGTTTTAGTAGTTGGTCATTTGGGTAACTAGCCACCAGTAGTCTTTTGTAGATACCCTGTCACCCCTAGGGCAGTTTAAGAAAATTTAATTTCCAAAACAATAGAACTGAGATCCAGGCTCAGGACCTTTGGTGACCCCCACAAAGAAGCAGTCACCCTTGTGAGTGAAGGCTGGTCTGAGAAACTAGCTGGCCAGCCCAGGGTTCTTCTCCATCCCTCTGCTGCCTTACCCATATGTGCACATACCTCAGGTGAGGTACAGATGTTAACAAGCATCTAAGAGTGAGTTATCTCTTGTGAAAAACCCGCTACTTTCCCCAACGGAAGGGAAAAGCCAGATGTAGGGTGACAGTGTAAGCCTATGTGGCGAAGTTGCTTCAGGATGGCCATTGTGTGTGTTTCAAAAACAAAGTGAAAGATGATTTTGATAATCTGCTGTTTGGGATTATCCATGCCTCCATCACCCCATATCACCAAGCATGGCACATGCATGTAGATGTATGTGCCTCTGCCCCAGTAGGTTGGCCCATATGATCAAACCCTAGACAGGGTAGCAGGAGACCCGACGTAAGGAATCCATACCTGAGCCTTAGGCCATGTTGGTACAGGTCTGAATCCTAAGGCACCAACCAGTTCCTCCTTCCAAAATTAGCGATCTCTTGTGTCCCCAGACAAAGTCAGAAAGAGAAGTTAGCGTAATCCTCAGTGCCACTTCCAGGCCCTCTACAAACCTCCGAAGCTCATATCATCCAGTAATGTCACTGCCCAGATCTTTGTTCCTGTCTTCTACTGATCTCTAGGTTCACTCACTCTCCTTCCTCACTGAGTTCGGCACCTGAACACGAGTTCAAACAGGGCTCTTAATTTCAGCGCCTGTTCTCATCCCTCGCGACTTCCAGTATTCATAGCACTTGGCCTTCCAATTCATCTCTCTCCTCAATTCAGCTCAGCAAACATTTATTAAATGTGTACCGTGTGAATGGACAACAAAAACAAAACGGTCTCAGCCTTAAAGAAGCTTACATCCTACTGGTGGCATAAAACATTCAAACAAATAAGTAAAGACAAAGTATAAATACAAAAGTAATTTCAAGGAGAACACGAATAACTGAGGAATGAGGCAAGTTCTCATGAAGGAGGGGGTAGCTGTGCTGTGCTTTAAAGGAAGGTAGAAATGAGGAGGAAGTGTATTCTTCCAGACCTGAACAAAGGCTTGGAGGTGGGAGATGGCTGATGGTGGGGACACAACAGCCAGCGAGCTAGTTTGAGTGCAAGAAGAGAAGCAATATGAAGTAAGACAAGAAAGGTAGATGGGAGTCAAATTGTGAAGGACTTTAAATGCCAGGCTAAGAATTTTGTGTTTTATCCTAGCAGAAATAGGGAGCCATTGAAAATTTGTAAGTAAGGAGATGACATGATTACATCTGAACTTCCATGCCCTCTGTCTTGTCACCCCTTAGACCTCAGTATTACCTAAAACTTCCACCTCCAAGGTGTCAACACTGAAATTCTGTTCTCTGATCACATGCAATTTTCTGTCCTTCCACTTCTCCATATTCCCTCCTCCCAGTCCATTACTTTTGTTCCATCCTTACTTGATACCTTTCACAGTCTTTAATCCCTTGTACTCTTGTCCTTTCGTTTTCACGTCCTGCTGATTGTCAACCCTGGGTCACCTCCACTATATGCATACTGCTGATCTACTGAAGAAGACATGAAATATACAGATGGATCTGCTAGAGATTCATGCTATCTAACCTTGCCAGTGCATGCTGATCTTTTGTTCATCTCTGACTGACTGATACCACACTACCATGGTGGCTATTCCGGATCTTCTGTCTCCTCAACCCCCCAACCCCACTGTAACCCACTTTCCCAACAGTTGACCTTATCACCTACTGTACTGATAAATGAGCCAATCTGACATGATCTTCCTCATCTTCCCTCTTCCACATGCCAAAACCTCTCTGTGCCTTTACATATGCTCTCTTGTTTCCATTTCAGAATAAAATGACCCTTCTTGACAAGATTAACCCCCACACACACACACATATACACACTTATGCTCTTGATCCCATCACTTTAAGGAGTGTGCTAAGAGCTCCGTCTTCTCCCCTTTTCATCTCACATTACTCCTAGTCCCCTGCTATCTTTTCCTTCATCCTCATCTCACATGAAGAGGTGGCCCTTGACAAGGCCAACCTCTCTACACATGTGCAAGTGATTCTATTCCATGCCATGTCCCCTCCATCCTCAAAACCCTCACTTGATCTGTCCACCCCAGCTAGCTATCATCCCACATCTCTGTTCATTTTCATGGCTAAACTTGAAAAGGCTGTTTACAAAAGGTAACTCCATTCCCTTTCCTCCCACTGTCTTGACTCTACAGTCTGGCTTCTGGCCTTATCATTCAGCTGGAATTGCTCTTTCCAAAGTTACCGATCATCTCTTTTTTTTTTTTTTGGAGGGGGGAGTGGCTTGGCAATGGGGTTAAGTGACTTGCCCAGGGTCACACAGCTACTAAGTGTTATGTGTCTGAGGCCACATTTGAACTCAGATCCTCCCGAATCCAGGGCTGGTGCTCTATCCACTGCGCCACCTAGCTGCCCCCCAATGACCTCTTAATTGCTGAATCTGATGGGCTTTTCTCAATCCTCATCTTTGACGTGGCTGTAGTCTTTGACACTGTCACCCTCTTCCTGATACCCTTTCTGTCTAGGTTTTTATGATACTGCTCATTCCTCGTTCTCCTCTATTTATCTAACCACTCTTCAGTTTCCTTTGCTGGATCTTCATTCAAGTTCTACACAATAACCAGGGGTATCCCCCAAGGCTCTGTCCTAGGACCCCCTCTCCTCTCTCTCTCTGTAAAATTTCACTTGGTGAGCTTATAGGCTCCCATGGATTCCATTATCTCTATGTAGATGATTCCTGGGTCTAGTTATCCAACTCTAATCTCTATCCTGATCTCTAATCTTGAATCTCCTACTTCCTGTTGGACTTCTCAAACTAGAAGTCCTATAGACATCTTAAGTTCCATATGTCCATTATCTTTCCCTGCCCCTACCTCCTCTCTCCCCACCCCAATCCCCAACAGCTTTGCTCTTCCTAACCTGCTGATTACTGTCAAGGGCACCATCATTCTCCCAGTCACCCAGGCTTACGGCCTAGGTGTCATCCTTGACTCCTCACCGTCTCACTCTCCTGTATCCAATCTGTTGCCAAGTCCTCTCATTCTACCTTCAAACCATCTCTTATATACTTCCCCTTCTCTCCTCTGAACCTGCCACCACCTTTATGCCCAACCCTCATCACCTCACACCTGGACCAGCACACCAGCCTGCTGGTGGGTCTGCCTGCCTCAGTCCCCCACTCCAGTTCATCCTCCATTCAACTCTCAAAGTGATCTTCCTATTGACCACGTCACTGCTCTATTTAATAAACTCCAGAGACTTTTTATTACCTGCAGGAGCAAATATAAAATCTTTGCTTTGGCTTTTAAAGTCTTCCTACTCTGGCTTCCTACTCCCTACTTTTCCAGGCTCACACCTAACTCCTCTCCATGTACTTTGCAGTCCAATGAGAATGGCTTCCTTTTTGTTTCTCATACAGGACACTCCCTGTCCTATCTCATCCAGCTGACACTTGAAGATCTCTAGTGAGGGAGTATCCACTGAGACGACCCTTTATAGTTTTAGATAATTCTAATCATGGGGCGGTTAGGTGGCGCAGTGGATAGAGTGCTGGCACTGGAGTCAGGAGGACCTGAGTTCAAATGCAGTCTCAGACCAAATACTTGACACTTACTAGCTGTGTGACCCTGGGCAAGTCACTTAACCCAATTGCCTGGGGGAAAAAAAGTCAACAAAGATAATTCTAATCATTAAGAGGCTTGTCCTTACATCAGGCTTAAATCTGTCTGTACTTTCCACCCACTCTTCCTAGCTCTTTCCTCTGATGCTAAACAGAACAAATCTGAGCCTTCTTGCACAAGAAATACTTGAAGGCAGCTGTCATGTGCCACCCAAGTTTCCTGGACGTTAAACATCACCATTTTCATTTATTTAAATGATTTGTTATATATTTAATATCAACATCAATATAAGTCATCTTATTTTATATTTAAATTAATTTCAGCCCATAAAATATCATAACTTTTCAGTCACTCCCTCTAAGTATCCTAATTGTCCTTTTCTTTTTATTCACTTTTCTCCTATGTGACCCTAATTGGTGTGTACTGTTTTTCTGGTTCTTATTTCCTTCAGTTTTCATTATTTCTTAAAGGTCTTTTCCTTTCTTTTCTAGTCTTCATATTTGTTTATCTTAATTACATTAGACAATTCTATTACACTAATGTTGTCACCATTTATTTAACCATTTTCCTGTTGTTAGATTTTTGAGTTTACTTCCATTTTTTTAATGACATATATTACTACTACAAAAATAGTTTAACAGAAGGCTCTTTTTTGTTGTTTTTGCTAACCCTTCCAAAAACAAGATATGATTATTTTTGTAACTTCTACAGTGTGCTGCTAGAATGCCCTCCAAAAAGATCCTACAAGTTTGCAATTCTACCAGCAATGAATGAATGTATTATTTCTCCACAACCCCACTAGCACTGCTTCATTCCTTTAATTATTTTTGCCAGTTTGACGGTTGTGAAGTGATACTTCAAACTTGTTTTAATTGGCATTTCGTTACTAGCATGATTGAGCATTTTAAGTGGTTATTAACAATTTATTTCCTTTTTTGAAAATATTCAATATATATTCTTTAACCATTTGTTCATTGTAGACTGGAAGTCACTTTTGTGATTTTTTTAATAATTCCATATGTATATTTTAGATAACAAATTTTATGTCATGTTTACATAAACAATTCCTGAATAATTTTTCTTATTTCAAAGTGTTATTATACAAAATTTTTATTTAATACCAGCAAGCACATCCATCTTGTTCCCAATATTCCTTCCATTTCATGAATGGAAAAAAGTCCTGTAATCATCACATTTAAGATGAATACATTATTCCATTTTCTCCCTTTTTTTAAAGTGGTTTTTTTTTAAATGTGTAACTCTGTCATCCAGCCAGAATTCACTAAGGTATATATGTTTGTAAGATGTGGGTTGACATCCATTTCCCATCCAAATTTCTACCAGTTTTCCCAAATACATTTGTTAAATAATGAATCTTTTCCCTAGTTTTTATTTTCTATAGATTTATCAAACATTAATCTTTGGTGCACATTTGATTGGATGTCTGGTATATCTATTCTATTTCTTTGATCTTTTTTTTTTCATTTTTTCCCCATACCAGATAGCTTTGATAATATCTGCTTTGTAATATGTGCCACCTTTATTAGGTTTTTTAGTGACCTTTTACAACTTTCTAAACCTTCCCCAATCACTGAGTCCCCAATTCAAGTCATCAAACCTATTAAACCTATCCTGATTCCTGAGCTGCCTTGGTTCTCTGGGTTCAGAAATTTGCTCCTTAATTACCTTTCCCATTCCATGGTCACAATTAACTGAATTCTGAACTCTTATATAAGCTTCCTGTTCTTCTGATTTTTCTCTCCATCTCCACACACTTGCAGACATAAGAATGGATTTTCCAGTGTTTATTTACAAGGGAAAAGAATATACACACTTAGAAATAATACACCAAAATAAGAGGCATATGGAAGAAAATTACCTAGTCCCAGACGGGGCAGCCCTTCAACTTACTAAGCTTTTCTATACAGCTGCTGTTCCAGAGCCCCATTTTGGCCATGATCCTCTTCAGCTTAGGAGCCCCATATCAGGACATATGGTTCTCCTTGGTCCCAAAAGAAACTGACCTCTTTAGGCCCTAGCACACCTCCACACTGAAGCCAAAACTGAGGCAATCAATCCTGGCTGACACTCCAGCTCCAAAGAATCTGGTTCAGGGAAGGGGATGCAATGAAACGGAGGCCAGGAAATTACAAGAATTTCTGATTGCTTTCCTTCCTCCTCGTCTGATTAGTGAAGAGCAAGATAACCCTTAAGAAGGTCATCTCGGGGGCCTTGACATGAGATGCCATGCCAGTATCCCAGGGAAACCCACATCCCCACAATCTAGCATTCCCCAAATTCCTGAAATCTCAGGAATTCCGATCCCAGCATTCTAACCATTCCCAGGGCCTGCATGATGTCTTGTGATATCCAGCAAGTAATCCCACGTATGAGCCTACATTTGCCAGAAAATAACTGGTCCCGGGATTTTAGACTCAGGGAAGTGACTTCAAGTCCTCCCCAAGAGGGAGAGTCCTAACTACTCTGGACCTTCTGCCAGGTAGCCTGGAACCATACTGGATTTACCTGCCTGGCTTTGATGCCCAAATCCCCCAGCCTGTTCCAACCTCCCCCTCTTTTTATTGGCACTGAGTTGAAGCCAAAATAATACCCTCCAGTGGCAATTCCTTGCCTCCAGAACCTCATACACATAAAATTTTAGGCATGGAAGAGTTTAAATCCCTTATTTTACAGACAGGGAACCAAGGCCTAAAGAAGTCGTAGGGTTTAGCCACAGTCACGCAAAGTTAATGGAACCACAACCCAGATGTCGTTATTCTGTCTAGGACTTTTTGCAGTTCACCAAAACGTTAGGTCAGGTAAGGGGAGCACCTCTGGTTTTACCTCAAGTGCCAGTAAGTTTGTGCTCCCAAGGCCCATCTCTTTCCATGCCTTTAAGTCACATTGGTGGTGGCCAAAAGTATCCCAGTAAGACAACATACATCAGTACCTCCTTCAAGTCCCACAGGCCTATCTGATCTGGACTGAGCCTATAGTAGCTATGGTTCTTCCACCAGCCCTCCTGGACCCTGGGAATCTAGCAAAAACATGGATGAAAAGGTGAGTTTTCTACATCAGCTGTTAATTACTCAGGAAGTGGCTGGGGGAATGCAGGGTATTTATTTAATGAGGGGGTGGGGCTAAAATGAGACAAGCCCAGAAGATGGGCAGTCTTAAAACGGGTAAGGGGGCAGAGTCATGGGACAGAGGAGGAGAGTCTCAGCTGGGAAGACAGGAGATTGGAGAGAACCAGAGAAAAGAGCCTTATTTCCACCTCCTTCTACCTCTTCGTAGGCACTTGACCTCATCCTAGATCAAACCCACATAATCCATCCCTCCTCAGACTCTTAGGGAAGGAGGAGGTCCCTCAACCTCTCCATCCCCAGAAGACAGGCCCACGGAGTCTGTGCCCTAGGTGAGAATGTGGCTACCGGGCATAAAGACTAGGAGAGCCCTTGCTGCAGTGTGCTCTCAGAGTCTCTCCCCACCTCCTGTTACTTGTGCCTTCTGAGGTGTCCTGGCTCCAGTGACCTAACATGCCTGGGGATTTCCTAAGCCACCTCATTCCTGCTTCCTCTGGAGGCTTATGGGAGATCAGTTTCCCCACATGCTGGGTAGCCTCCCGACCAGATGTTCCAAGGTGCACCCACATCTTCATCAGTCCTGCTCTTCACAAGCTTCTGCCCCTCAGCAGAGTACCTGACCTCCTTCCCATTTCTTCTCAGCCTCCATCACTGACATGCCACCACCACAGACTGGAAGAACCCTGCAGTAGCCAGTCTGTTCCCCCAGGAGGGGCCATGGGCCTGGGTTTTCAAACCAACTGCTTCCTACCCTTCTAGGGCTCAGGGCCGTACTGCTGGCACAGGGCTTTGGACTTGAGGGGCATTTGGCCCTGTGGGGGTGGAAGAGAAACATGGCTGAGGTTGCTGGGGCCAGATCTCCAAGCAGTCGATCCTCTGATCAATGCATGTCCCCAAAGAGCAGGAATCCGAGGCAGATTCCACCTCAGAGTTGCAGAGTTCTCACCAAGGGCAGAAGACAGGAGCTCAAACAGCTCCTGAGGGAGAGAAGACCCAAAGTAGAAGGGAAGGACACTCCTACTTATCTCTAGCCCCCTGCCCACAGTACTGCCGATACACCCTGATTTAATGCTAAAGCCTAATTTGTCCCTTCGCCCCCTCTTTGCCTCCACCACCCAAGGAGGTTTGAGGGTTAGGGCAAAACACTGTAGAAAACCCTTTGCCCAGTTAAGACTTTCTTCTTTTTCCCAGGATGAGATAATAGGTATTCAAGGAGGGGGGAGGGGGGAGAGGGTTGGAGGACACCCCCCTCCCCCGGGGCATTCCCTGGTTTTATCCAAGAATCTTCAACTCTCATACTTTTGGTATAAATTACACTGTTGGGAGGGGAAGTTGGTAAATGATTCTCTTGTACTGATTGTGTATCATCCTGGGGAACCATGCAACATCTGGAATGGGTGGGCAGGGGTTTGCTGAACCCAGCAAACAGTGCCCAGAGCAGGACCACTGCTCCTCTTCTTCCTGATTCCCCCTCCCAATGCACCTTCGCTTGTCTGCCCCAGCTCCAGAGATAGAAGGGCAGAGTTGGGCACCTAAAGAACTAGCAGAAGCTAAGCCGCCTTTAAAGGTCACCGTGGTAAAAATAGAGGATGGGGTCATGGAGGGGATGGAAAACACCTGACAGCGGCCAAGCTTTATCCTGCCAAGCCGACTGGAGCCAGGTTGGACTGGCAGAGGCGCAGCCCTCGGAGGGAGCAGGCCCACTTCATACTTGGCTATTTTGTCCCCTAAGTTGTCCCCTGCTCTTCACTCCTCCATGGTTCTGAGGCCAGAGGAAAAAGCAGGGTGGTGGGGGTGGAGGCACTGAATCTCAGTCCCTGGCCCCAAAGGGCCAGGAATTGGTTTGGGGGAGGACTAACTGGGGACTGACTGCTCCACTAGGTGGCAGAAGTGGTGGAAAAGAAACAGAAAAACTGCTTCTCCAACACTGGGGTAAAGGGTGCCGAGTCAGGACCCCCCTCCCCCCAAGGGGAAGTGGAGGACAACACGTCAGCTGTCCCGAGCTGGCCTCAGCCCCTTCGAGGGAAGGTGTCCCCATGGGCTGAAACCTGCCCCCAGATCCCCTACCCCGAAGCCCCCGCCCCGTCCCCAGGCATTTCTTCCTCTCTCCGCCCCCAGCCTAGGTGGATCTTAGGATGTGCAGGGGGTCTCCGAGGGGAGGCTGCCTCTCTTGAGCCGCAGGCTGCTCCCGTGCCAGCCCCGGGGGCATATATTGTAGCCACGGAGACCGGGGGACTTGAGCCCCGAGTCCTCAGAGTCGAGGGATACGTCAGAGTCTGTGGGCGAGCGACTGGTGTAGGGCTTGACAGGTGAACGAACCTGTGGACTAGGTGAGGGCAAGGGGCTCCTGAAGGCTAAGGGTCGGGTGGTGCCTGGACTCCGGGGGCTGGCTGGTAGGAAGGGCCGGGGGCCGTCCCCAAAGGGTGCTTGGGACGAGGGCAGGGGGCTCTTCAGGATGGGGGAGAAGGTACCACCGGGCAGGGAGGAAAGGCGATAGCCGTCTCCCAGGGCGCTCTTCAGGGGAGGACACGGGCTGCCCAGCCCTCTGGGGCTGGCAGGAGGCAGGGCCTGGGTGGCTGAGAGGGGCCTCAGCCATTCTGCCCCTGGAGATCGGGGGGAGGAGGAGCTCTTCCGGCGGGCGGCATTGATGATGTTCCTGGCAACCAGGGCCTGCATCTGGCGGCTGCTGCCCTTGGGCTCAGCCTGCATCGAGGACAAGGAGCCCTCGCTCCAGGAGGGGACATGGGCGGGGGTGGAGGGGGACTGCTCGTGGTGACCATCTGGCAGAACTCGGAAGGACCACGGCCCCCCCAGCCGTCCAGACTGCTGGCTGGCCGCGGTGAGCCGGGGGTCTCGGGAGGGGAGGTGGGGCGACATTCCCATCTTTCCTGGGGAGAGAGCAAAGGAGCAGAGCTGAGTTAGTGTGTTTCTCTCCGGGATCTGGGCTGGGGCTCTGCGTAGAAGCTCTGGGCAGCGGAGTAATTCTGTGGCTATAAAGAGCGCCAGACTTGTCTTTGCGAGGCTTCCCCCGCCCCATCCCTAGGAGTTTATCCTGTGGCCCTATTGCAGAACCTTACACCATTCAAGTTGGAAGGGATCTTACAGACTATCTAATCCAACCCTTTCATTTCACAGATGGCAAAACCGAGGCCTGGGCAGCTAGGTGGTGCATTGGGTAGAGTGCCCTGCCTGGAGTCTGGAAGACTCCTTTTCCCGAGTTCAAATCCAGCCTCAGACACTCACTAGCTGTGTGACCCTGGGCGAGTTATTTAATCCTGTTTGCCTCAATCTCCTCATCTGTAAAATGATCTGGAGAAGAAAATGGCAAGCCATTCCAGTATCCTTGCCAAGAAAACCCCAAATGGTGTCACAAACAGTTGGACACCGCTGAAACAACTTTAAAAAACTGAGGCCTAAAGGAGGGAATACAGCACATTGGTGATAGACTCGGATCTGGTATTTCCAACCCAGTGGACTTTACAAACTGTCATTCATCCCCAGCACACCATCTCACTAACGTCATAATCCCTTGTCCTCCCCAGTAGTGAAGGCGTTGGCTAATGAAAACTTCAACTTTAACTTGGCATAGCAGAGAGAACACTGAATTTGGAGTCAGACACGGGTTCCAGTTCTGACTATTTACTGCCCTATGTGACCTGGGCAAGTCACTACCGCACTCATCTGTTTCTTTTCTTTCTTTTTTTTTTTTTTGATTAGGCAGTGAGGTAAAGTGACTTGCCTAGGGTCACACAGCTAGTAAGTGTTATGTGTCTGAGGCTGGATTTGAACTCAGGTTCTCCTGAATCTAGGGCCGGTGCTCTATCCACTGCGCCACCTAGCTGCCCCACACTTGTCTGTTTCTCAAATGATCCCTAAAGGTCCTTCTAGCTCTGAATCCAATAGTCCTGTGCTATGCTTTTCAGGGTATCTGCATTTTAATGAGTCCAGAGGAGTTCAGAGTACAACCCTGAGATCAGGCACTAGAACAGGCCTGCCGGTATCCTCTCAATCACAGCCCATGTAACTTCCCCAGGCATAGGTCAGGCCCTGCCTTTTTTTTTTAAGGTAGGGGGAGAGGGAGGAGATGAGAAGAGTGATATGGGAACAGCTGACCTCCCTGGGAGTTTATATCTAAGACTATGCCCACCAAATTCCTCTAGGCCTTAGCAAACATTGAGGAGGACTCAATGTTTGGGGTGACAGGTTTTTTCTGAGGTTAAGGGAGAGTGTAGCAGTGACCCAAGGCCCTGGATGACTGCCCAGTGATTTAGGCTTCCTACCTACTAAAGAAATCAGGCACTCTCCCTCCCTGCCCACCCACGCCCTGTCCTACACACACATACACACACATGCACACACACACACACACACACACACACACACACACACACACACAAAACCTCCCCCAGTTTCCACTGACATCATTTAGAGAGGAGGAAGGAGATAGAACATTTTCCATCTGTTTGAGGACAGTTTTATCCTTTCCTGCAGAACTCCTGCCTGGCCCTTCCCTAGTGACCCAGTCACCTTGAGCCCCAGGGGAAGATGGGAAAGGAGGGGCAGGCCCTGGGCTGGCCTGTTCTTTTGGAAACAAATGGGACCTGGAGTGGTATCATAATAGAACTGGGACCTTTGAGATCCTTTAGTTCAACCTAATTTTACAGATGTGGAAACTGAGGTCCTGCAAGGCAAGTCATTTGTCCAAGGTCACAAAGGTAGTAAGTAGGAAGGCCAAAACTCAGATCCTTTGACTTTCAATCCAGTGCTTGTATGATGACCTCATAGCCATGAGGGAAAAGGTGTATTTTTATGGACTTTGGAGAGTGAACTAGGCTGGATTATGTTTTCTGGGTGATTTAGCACGACTCTTCTTTTTCTTTGTAACCCCAGTGCTTAGCATACGGTAGGAGCTTAACAAATAATTGTCGCTTGACTTCTCCTTTAAATGAAAGGAGAAATTTCTAGTGACTGAGCAGGAATGTGGATGGTACCACAAACTTCATCAGAAACCAAGAGGCTTCTTGATTGGCTGAGACTGAGTTTGGGATCATAGAGTGGTCCAGCGAGCTCAGGCCAGAACACTCAACTGAGGTCTCACATTAGACTAGGAGGTCTCCTCTGGAATGGAAACTGTGATAGATGGAGACATGGGCCCCAGTCATAGAAGCAAACTAGCAAACTGGTAGACCATCCAAGCTGTTCTAGGTTATTTTCTTTTATATTCACTCTCAATTACCTTCAGTCCTGTGCCTGGTATTTTTGGTTACTGTATTTCTCCAGCTCAAGGACAAACTCTAGAAAAATCATGAATGTGTTCTAGAAGGCATGATAAGTTAAAGAAGATAAAGAGGGAGTAGGTGCAAAAACCAGGCACCAAAACATGGTGAGGTTAGATGGAGACAAAGTAGTAGGGGCCTAAGAGCATCTGACCGGAGGAAGCCAAGCAGCCTCAGGAAAGAAAAGATGGGATGGGGCAATTCCTTAAGGAGTTGGAGATCAGCAGAAGATTAGAATAGAGAAAGATGGACTTTATATATATATATATAAGATACGCAAGACTTATAGCCTCATCCTTCACAACGCTTTGGAAAGTTACATAGTACTAATACACTCTGTTGTTCTTCAGTCATGTCAGTGGTGTCTGACTCTTCGTGACCCCATTTGGGGTTTTCTTGGCAGAGATATTGGAGCGGTTTGCTATTCCCTTCTCCAGCTCATCTGACAGATGAGGAAACTGAGGCAAATGGGGTTAAGTGACTTGCCCAGGGTCACACAGCTGGTAAATAAGTGAGGCTGGATTTGAATTCAGGAAGAAGCTGTCCTAAAAGGTGTGTTCCGATCTAGCCCAGTCACAGAATGAGACCTGTCAAACCTTCAGCTTCTCGCCCAATCAGAATAAAGCAAAACTATGCAACCTCCTGTCCAATCAGGACCCAGCAGCGGCTGATGAATTCAATTTTTTACCCAAACACTGAATAGTAAGAGATGAGCCACAGCAGAGTGCTACCAATTAGAATATGCACAAGCCATATACTCCAGTTTCTTGGCCCCAGTTGAAGGTAGACAATAGCCTAGAACAGATGACCTTACTGTTGTGGGTAGGAGGGACCTCGTGTCCTCTAGTCCAACTTGCCGTAAGGTAAGACTAACTATCCTATCGCAAACAAAGCAGGTCCTGCCCTATGACATCGCAGCCTCCCTTTGAATGGACAATACCCCTAAGGCCAGAAACAAAGCCTGCAGGGCGCTTGGAAATCTCCTTTGAGCAGTACGGGACATTCCCTTACTCACAGGCTTTCGGAGACTACAGAAAGGCCCTGAGCAAGATTGGTTTACATCCTTGCATCCACTTAGAGGGTGGTTCAAAGCTTTCTTCTTGTCTCTGAGTGGGAGTAGTGTCACATGCAGCTTATGCTCCCTGGCCATAGGCAGTGGCAGCCATATGGGCATATAGATTGATGTAATAACAGTAAATGGGTAACGTGGGGCATAGAGGGGCAAGGGATGCCCCTCTGACATGAAACATTTTTAGGTTCTCATAGCCAGGGATCAAAGCTAGAGTTGGAGGGTGCCTCTGTCCTAAGGAACTCAAGGATCCAAACCTTTCCTGAGCCAATTACATGGATCACACCCCCATTGGGGCAGCTGGGGTGGTAAGGATTGAATGCCAGACAAAGAGTGGGAGCGTATAGGTCTGACTTGGCTCATCTCCCAGAACAGCCAACAACAGCACTGCCAGGAGCTGAAAGGTGGGTGCAGGAGGCCACCTACAGTATCTGAGTAGGCTGTGCCCAGCAGGCAAGAACAGGCTGCCTGTGGGCTGGATGTATTTCTAGAAGTCCACAGATATGTCCATAAAGTTATCGCCTGCTGCCCACCGGGACCCAAGCTCTGAGGCCTGCCTAGAAGAGGAAGGAGTAAAGGGAGAAATGGATAGAGCCAGACTTCTCTCTTTAGCCAGAGGATCTCAGAGTCACTTACCTATTCTTGAATTCTCATCCCACTCTCCCAATTCAAAGTGCAGCCCCACTCTAATATTACATTTAGAGGGGCTAGCAATGTTATGTGGAGAGGGAATAGGTACCTTGGATTCAATCCCAAGTTCTCCATCTTAGAGAACATCTTCTAGGCAGAGCCTACCGTAAAACCAAATGGAATTTGACCAGCAAAGTGCTTTGAGATCTTCAAGTATTTTCATACCAAGAACCCATGGATGAGAAGATAATCCTATATAAAAGCCCTTACTCGAAAACACACACACACACACACACACACACACACACGCTCATACATCTAACACCCAATATTTCACAGGACTCAGTTCAAGTGACTGAACTGGCTGATAGTTTTTGTTTTGTTTTGTTTTGTTTTTTCCCCCTCCTGAGCCCAATAAAGATAGAACATGAGGTAGGACTGGAGAGTCAGGAGAAAAATGGATATCGAGTCTATAGGAAAGAGAGCAGAGGCGAGAAGTAAACCAGGCTTGAGGTGTATTAAGAGCCAGAAGAGGAGGCCAAAGGGAGCAGCACAGACCACAAAGCAAGTGTATGTATGCAGAGGGTGAGGGGAGGACCTAGTGTGAATGGCTCCATGCCTGGAGGTCTAGGCAGGGAGACTTCCCATGGCAAAGTGGTTATGTTCTCTTCCCTGAAGGGGCTATGTGTGTGTGCACAGGGCTAGTGACAGGCTCTGAACCATGTTCCCATTCCTCTTTCCATTCCCTCAGTGGAATGAGCTCATGAGGAAAGCACCCCCCCTGGTTCCCATGGAGACAGTTCAGGAAGCTTAGCCTGTTGTGGGCTCTCCAAGCTTCAGGAGTCCAGACCTGGAGGAGGAGGGGAGAGAAAGCAGATATCCCCCTCTAGGTCACAGCCCCCCCCCCTTGGAGAACATTTTTTGAGATAGAAGGTTCAAGGCAAGAATCATGCCTTCTCGTTCTGTGTCGCCATGACACTGCCTAGCCCAAGTCTCTGTACACTAAAGCTTCATAAAATTATAGAATGAATTAGAATCATCTACTCTATTTCCCTCACATAGAAAACATTTAAGTAAGAAAACTCAGGCCCTGAGAGGAAAAGCAATTTGCTCCCGGTCACACTCAGGCTGAGGCTAACACCCAGGTACCCTGACTTCCTATCTAGTATTCTTTCCATTCTATTACTCTCCATCCTACATACCCACAGAGCTGTCATTACCCTGGAGAACCAGGTAAGGCCACAGATGGTTTGGGGTAGTGTGTCTACTGTCCCCAGATTCCCTTGTCTCAACCACTTAGCCTTCTATCTCCTTCAGCCAACAATGGACCCACCTACAATCTGGTCCCTAATAACCACATAAGATAAAAAAGTTATGTGGCCATAATATCAGATTCCCAGTAACAAAGGCCATGAAGATCAGTGCCTTGCTTCAATCTGTCCCAAAGACTATGTCTAACCTGGACTTCAGCGGCTTCAGGGAACAAGATCATGTTACCTTCAGAAGCCAATTCCAGACTTTTCTTGTATCAGAGAATACCTAGCCTCAGTCCCTCTGCTTGGCAACATCCCTCTATTAACTCTTGCTTTCTCCTCCAGGGGCCCGTCTTGCTCTCAGAATGCCTTTCTGCCAAATTCCTAGCCCAGCCTGGTCATTCTTACTGGCTCTAGGCCCCCATCCTGGATTGACCTGTCCACCCTTGCCTTGGGGGGCTGCTAGCATACAGCCTGTCCCAAAAGGGAGTTGCTGGCCCCCCACAGAGAAAGCCCAGCTGAGTGCACAGCTGGAAAAGCAGCTGAGATTTTGCCAGCAAAGCCCCCTTGGGAAATGCCTGGAGGTCTTTGGGATCTCTCCTCCCCCTCTGACTACTCATTCACATCTGGCTCCTCCTTTGTATTCTTGTCCCTGAGACTTCCTTCAAGGGAACCACTGCTAGGAATAACATTTCATCCCAAGCTATAGGATGGTGACAAAGGCATGAAGAACACAGGGAGGTTTCAAACTCAGGGAGTCAATGTTGGAGCATCACAGGTGGAGTCTTTAACATGCAACTGAAGATGTCTCCCTCCCCTTCTGGTGTTGTGCAGAGACCGTGTCTTAGAGCCCGATTCGAGGAGGGATGGAGGGAGGGAAAAGTCACCCAGAACAGAAAAGCCAAAGTTGCTCGGCCTCCCCCTCGCATGAAGGTGTCTCCTGCGTGGGAGAGGCGGCAGGAAAGAGAAAGGCCGAGAAGACCGCAAGAGTTCTCCGAAGCAAACATGTAAACAGTTTCACAAAGCTAGAAGTGGAGACGGCAGAAATAGGCCCCAGGGAGGAGGGACCCCAGCAGCAGCAGGCGACAGGAAAGGCATCAGGAGTTTCTGCTCATTATCAGGTACTTCCCACTGTTCTGTCAGGCAACGTAGGACAACCTCTGCCCCCTTCCCCAAACAGTCTGCTGGCCAGCCCTTCGGTGGACAAGAGGACTTGTCCAGCAGGGTCTGGCTGCTCCCTAAGCCTGGGTGTGCTAGGGTTATACAAGTGCTGTCTGTGACTTTGCTCCAGGCTTCTGTCTCCCAGCAAGACGCTGGCACGGGGCCTCCCTGACACTCTGCATGCTCACTACAGCTCCCCTTGAATGGGACAAGGCCTGCCCCTGCCGGTTATCGGGCTTTCAGGCCTCCATACTAATTCATCTCCCTCATTGATCCTGCACCCTTAATTGATGGTCCTGGTGGGTGGTGGGATCCCTACGTGGGCCCACAGCAAACCCTATTACTTGAAGCAAAAGGAAGGCTTCCACACCTGGGGCTCAATCCCCACATTCCGTGTAGAGAATGAAGGTCTCGGAGCTTGGCCCTTGGCTCTTGGAGACCATGCCCGGGAAGGAGACACCGGAGATACTTCACCACCAAAGGTGGGGCTGCTGCCACTCATCTGGGTAACATCTTGGACAAGACCTCCTGGGCCCACTGGTGAGGGACACAGGGCAGGTGAAGTGCGTGCTGGCCGAGGCAGGGCAGGCGAAGGGGGAAGGACAGAACCAGCTGGGCAGGGTGCCAGCCTCCCCACAGGTTCCAAATCAAGAGATCCCGGCTTGGCAGGTGAGGCTGCTCTTGCTGGGATCTTGGCTGGCTCCTTGGAGGGAGTGAGAACAAAGAGTGAGGATTGGAGCTGGTAAGGCTGCTGTTTGGTGGGCTCCACCTCCCTGCGTGGAGTCCTGTTCTCTGGCAGGTAGCCGTGGTACAGAGAGGCGGGCGGTGTTCGGGCAGGGCTCCGGCTTGCCACCCGGAAGCCCCCTGGAAACCCCGGAGCATTGGAGTATTTCCAGGAAGGAGGCAGGGACATAGTGGGAGATGGGCAGCGGGCCGACTCAGCATGGCCTGGTGACTCAATTACATATTTCTCCATTCGGGACTGGCGTCGGGCATACAGCTCAGCTCCCTTGCCAGTGGCCTCCGTGAGGTTCTGGTTTGGTTTTCGCTCAGGCTTGGCCCGGATGCTGGGCGACTTGAGGCACGATGACCATTCTGGGAGGGTATCCTCAGAGGTAGGGCTAGACCAGTCCCTGGGGGGTGGCTCATTCTGAAAGTTGGATGCTTCAGCTCCAAGTGCAAATGGTTCCTCCTCTGGGCCCAGCTCCCCGTGGTCTCTCTGCTTCCGTTTCTCATCAGCTGTCTGTACCAAATCCAAGAGATCAGGGTTAGGGGTCACTTTGGGCTTCTCCACAAAGGTGAACATGGACTTCCTATTGCCCCGGCGGGCCATCGACTCCTCCAAGATGCCCGTCTTGGCTACAGATGCTGGTCTGCCCTCCCCATAGCTAGGCCCCTTAAGACGCGTTTGCTTGTGCTCAGTGCTGGGGTACAGGACAGAATATGAAGGCGGAGACCTGCCCCTAGAGGCCAGAGGTGTCGTTGACAAAGTCTCAGCGTAGGTGGGGGGTGGAGTGAAATTTCCCAACGGGCGTTTTTCCAAAGCAGGACTTCTCTCAACCATCACCGGTCTCTCTACCATAGGGCCCCTCTCCATGGTAGGACTGCTCTCTCTCAAAGGCCTCCTCTCCACCATAGGGCTTCTCATCATTACAGTATGCCTCTGAACCTGAGGACTTCTCTCCCCTATTGTGTGCGCCTGTGCCCTGGGGCTCCTCTCTCCCATGGGGCGTCTCTCCATCATCGGACTCCGTTCCAACTGGCTATTGATCCCTTGAGACTGGACTCCAAATGGCCTGGCCGTCCTGTTCACCACTGACTGAGGTTTGGCCAGGGTAAGGTGGACCTCACTGTGCTGCTTGGGGACCGGGGTGCCGATAGCCGGCCCAGACATCTCTAGCCCCACTGCTGGGCCACTGGGTTTGACATCGATGACCAAGACGCTAGACTTGACGTCAGGGACCGTGGCATTCGTGGTGGAGCTGGGGACCGCCTCCCCAGAGTGGGGACTGGCCTTGCCATTTGTAGGTACTATGCTTGGCTTCACTTCAGTAACAGCTGCACTGGAACTCATGTCTGGGCTTGGTGAATGGGTTTTCTCATCCACAAGCAGAGTGCTGGGTTTAAAGTCAGCCACAGGGGTGTCCTGCTGTACCTGGGATTCAGATGCATTCTGTTTGGTGCTGGAGACTGATGCGTTCTGACCAATGTCCATCGCCGGTGGGTTCTGGTTGACATCACTCACTAGCGTGGTGGGTGTAGTCTCAGTCAAGGAAGGATTCTGATTCACATCCATAGTGAGAGCATTTGCATCAGCCAGTGAAGGACCCTTCTGAGCTTCCTTGCTTTGAGATAGGTGGAGTCCATTGGCGGTGAGCAAGGCTGCATTTTCCTTTAGGTAAACCACCAAAGGGATCTCCTCCTCTTCACTGGCTGCCTTCTCCAGGGATCTCTGGCTCAGGACATCTGTGTTCTTCCCATGCCCCTCCATATTGCGGCAAGGATTCCCTACCTCTGGGGACTGGATACCAAGGGATGAAGAGGGGCTTGGATGAGCGCCTTGGGGAGTGTGATTCAGGCAGAGCTCTGGACCATGGTCTGGAGTCTCAACAGGGAAGGTTTGAGGGCTGTGCACAGGGCCGGGTTTCTGTCCCTGTTTCCCAAAGCTCTCTAAAGTGAACTCCTTTACTCTTTGCCGGCGCCTGTGGAAGAGCAGGACCCCTCGGGAATTGGAGCTGGGAGGAGTGGTCAGCTGGGCGGCAATTAGCTGACTCTGTGCTTTGGCCTCTTTCAGGTCCTTCTCAGTGAAGCTGGTACTCCGACACAGTGCTAACAAGGAGGGGAAAAAAGAGTCCAGGGTTAGTGTCCTTGTTGGTTAACAATATTAAACATGTGTTATGTACACAGTATTATGCTTGATACTGGAGAAAACAAAATGATGGAGAAGAAAAGGAATTCACTTTTTTTTTTTAGGCAGTTGGGGTTAAGTGACTTGCCCAGGGTCACACAGCTAGTAAGTGTCAAGTGTTTGGTCTGAGGTCAGATTTCAACTCAGGTCCTCTTGACTTCAGGGCCGGTGCTCTGTCCACTGCGCCACCTAGCTGGCCCCAAAGGAATTCACTTTTACAGTGCTTTAAGGGTTATTAGGCATTTTGCTCACACAATCTCAAGGTAATTAGTTCAAACACTGTACCCATTTTACAGATGAGGAACAGCCTCAGAGAAGATCACAGATTTAGAGCTCGGAGGGAACTTAAGGTCCATCGGTCCAACCCCTTCATTTTATAAATAAGGAAACTAAGGCCCAGAGAAATTAAATGACTTGCCCAGGGTCTCACTGCTAACATGACACAAGATCTTCAGGCCAGTTTGGGTTTTGTTTCCATATTCTCTTCACCATGCACAGTGGCAGGTACAAAATAATGCTTGCCAAACTGAACTGAAGCTAAAACTAACCCTAAACTTTTAATTCCAGGACCAGCTCTTCCCATTTTAGTACATGATACAATGGTCCCACCCTCACAGTGTAGTAGACAAAGTAGTGTACAGACACGAGTAACTTTAATGGTTTAAAACTACACAGAGACTTGTGAGATGCCATTCGTGATCCAGAGCAGAAAGGAGTGGAAGCCACAAGGCCAATACAAAGTGCCATCAGTGTTAAAAGGAAAGATCTGGGGGTAGGAAAGCATGAGGTGACTTTAGGGAATCCTAAAGTCCTAGTCCTGTTTGACTGATCTGTAGAGTGCATGAGGGGGATTAGCTGGAGATAAGGATGGAAAAGTCTTAGTCTGTGGAGGGCTCAGAATGTTAGGCTGAAGAGTTTGGGCTTTATCCTGAAAGCAACAAGCAGCCATTGAAGTTTTTAGGCAGGGTGAGCGACATAATCAAAGCAGTGAATTAGGAAGATAAATCTAGCTGTTCTGTGAAGGATGGATTGCAAGATGAGAGGCTGGAGGTCAAGAGATTGACTGCTGCAAAAAATTCAGGTGAGGGATAAGGGCTGGGCCACAGAAACAGAGAAAAAGGTGCAGAGGCATAAGACATGCTAGCAAAATGAATCAGGCAGTCAGTGGCTGAGGCCCCCTCACTGTCTAGGACAGACACAGGACCATGAGAATGGCCAGATTTCTGGCCGGTGTTTAATGAACATGTGGACACCTCTGCAGTCAGCACTGAAGTAGGAGAAGACAGTCTCTGCCCTGAAGGAAACATGTATGTGCTCCCATCAATGCCTGTGAGGGGTCAGATTGAAGTGGAAAGATAGGTCTGTGCCCCTCATTAGGGCAGGAGCCATGAGTACACCTACCTAGTTACACCCCAACCTACTTTTTTTTTTTAGGCAATTGGAGTTAAGTGACTTTCCCAGGGTCACACAGCTAGTAAGTGTTAAGTGTTTGATCTGAGGCCAGATTTGAACTCAGGTCCTCCTGACTTCAGAGCTGGTGCTGTATCCATTGCACCACCTAGCTGCCTCTCAACCTACTTTTTTATTCCCATGTAGCCTTCTCCTTCCTTGGCCACCACAACATCCCTTAGATGGCCCTGCCTTCAATCCCATGGAACTGCTAACTACCTCACTGGACTTCAGGTTCCTCCTCTTTCAAATGAGGGGCTTGAGGCCACTGATCTCTAAGGTCCCTTCCAGCTCCAGCGTTACGTTCTGTGTTCCAAGGGCTCTCTCAGTTCCAACATTCTGTGTTCCTAATACTCTTTTCCTCTTTTTGCATCCTCTGTGCTGCTAAGGATGCTGGGCTAAGAAGAAGAGGCAGAGGTGGTCATTTGGAGGACAGGCCATTCCCACTGAGGGCATTTGGTAATTGGAGGTCCAAAGCCAGTGCTTAGGAGGAGAGGTGACAGTCACAAGCAAGTTCATGCTGCAGCAACCTGGGTTATTCACAGGAGCATTAGCAATATGAAGAAGCCCCTCAACAGAAACCCTATGAAACAGCTCCATTGGCTTTGACCTTCACTTTGGACATCCAACTCTATTACACTCGAGCTAATAGTCAAAGGAGCCTGTACTTCCAAAGCATACAATAGACTGCCTAGGTGAAAGGTGGGTAGAGGAAGGAGAACAAGGGAAGGGGGAGGAAAAAGTGGAGGTTAGGGGTCCAAACTAGGCATGGATAGCTCCCCAAAATGGTTAATCCATAAACAGACAAAGAGTTGTTGAGCCCAGGGAAATCTTAGTATTCATTTGCTCAAAGTCCTTGAAGAGGATGCCAGACTGCAAATGCCTTGAGGGGAAGGACCATGATTTCTCTGTCCTTCCTACATCAGAACTTCAGAAGATACATCATTAATTCAGTGCGGTTACTTTTTCCACTGACACAGATCATGATCTTTCCACGCCTTATGTGGAGGTTTCAGAAGCAGCTGTGATCAATTTACTCGTGATAAGCCTCAGTGTTCAGCTGCTCTGGCCCTGAGATGTCAAACACCCCATCCATCACTGGGCCCCTTTGCAGTCTTTCCAACTTGGTAGGTAGGAGTTTGTACTGCATTAGCATGATCTTTGAGACCCCACAGTCTCTTCCATGGGGAGGCATCAGAGGATGGCTCGCCATCATACAGAAAATAGAATTCCAAAGCTGGGAGGGACCTTAGAGATACTAGTGTCCTAGGTGTAGAACTATGAAGAGCCTCAAAGGTTATATTATCCAACCCTTCACCTTCTCGATGAGGAGCTGAGGCTCAGAGACATGAAGAGATTTGTCCAAGGTCACACAAACAATAAGTGGCATCTTGTAGTTCAACCTCCTCACTTTACAACAAAGGAAACTGAGGCACAGAATGGGGAAAGGTATTATCCAAAGTCACAGGCAAGGTAGTGGTAGAGCTAGCAGCTGACCTGAAGTGTCCTTTATTAAAAGCATTCTGGCCCCATGCTCATAAGGGATACTCAGTAACTAATGGGCATGCTAATTAATCTACCCCTACTCCCAGAAAGGAGTCAGGTATCCACATCTCTATTTACACCTGAGGAAATTGGAGCCTGTAGTGGGGAAGTGCCTGACTTTAGGTCACAGAGCAACGTTCTAGAGGGTAGCCAAACAGGACAGCTGTAGCCCTAATACTGGGATGTCTCGCTGAGGTTTTTCACATCCGCCTTCTGCCTCCAAGCCCTGTGCATCCCTGAAGTCAACTTCTTCCCTAAATCACCAGAAGGAAGTTACAGCCAGTAGATGAGTGTACCTTGCTGTCCCCACATAGCCTAAGGTGATCGTATGGGAAAGGAATTCAATCAAAGGCTTGGAAAGGACTTAGGTTGCAATTCATTTGATTTCCACCCCACACACATACATGCTGGAGGAGGAAAAAAGCCAACCACACACCAGCCTGAGAGTTCCCCTTTTCTCTGGGGGTCAAGTGGAAGGTCTATCAAATCACTGCCTTCAGTTCTACTCCTCGAACCAGATTCAAGAGGAAGAAATAGCCATCACTAGGAATGCAATGCCAACCCCCAGGGCATCAGAGGGACAGGAGGAAGCAGCTCACGAGGACACCAGCCTCTCCAATAGTTCCCTTTCCAGGATGCCCTTGGAGGCTCCGTTCCTCTGGGACTCTATGCAGAGCCAAGGTGGGGGGAGCTCAAGGCTTTCTACCTCCCACAGGGCCTGTCATCTGTATCACTAGCTTCTAAATGACAGAGACCATTTAACACAGGTCTTGAGGCTCAGAAGACCTGGTTGGTCTCAGCTCTGTCACTAACTCACTGTGTAACCCTGAATAAGCCCTTCTGGGACTTAATCTCCACAAAGAGATGCTTGGTATCTGTGATTCCCAATGTTCCCTCCAACTGTGGGATTCTACATCTAGGATTCTCAGATATTCACAAGAGAAAGATCACTGCGGGCTAGAAGAGTGTGCCGAGGAACTTGTCCCTTGGGTATCAGAAGCAGGGAGGGCTCTGAGAGGAAAGGCAGGGAGGTGAGCCCAAAGGGCAGGCCGCGGAGAATTCAAGGAAATACTTCTTCACAGCAGCCTGCCATTAGCTGGTGGAGCCAGGTCACCAGAGGCCAAAGGGAGGGTGGGAGAAATTCAGGTCCACTAACATTCAGTCGGTGACCATGGCATCAGGGCATGTAAACAGACCCCAGGCTCGCGTTTCAGGGAATAAACTGACCACCTGCCAAGACCAGGAAGGAAGTGTCCCCTGTGCAACCTCCCATGGGGACCCTGGGTGAGGGCTTCATTTGTTTTCCTTCAAACCCTCTCCCCTTTCCCCCCTGACCACTTGGACTATGAGGGAGAGGCAGGATGCTGAATTCAGACTGGCCACCTCACCCACCCTCCTGCCCAGGCATTCTCACCCCCACCCAATTTACTTTCAATAAGGAAATGACACATAGGCCTTTTCCCAAAGGGAAGACTCCTGGGCTGGAAGCCCAGCCCTCCAGACTCCTTGGCTGCCAGGGCCTCCCTAACCACTCAGCCTCAGGACCGCCTGAGGCTGCCAGGGAGGCTGGCCCAAATCTAGGAAATGATGCCTATTTACTAGGAAAAGATGCCTATTTACAGATAAATCTGCCTATGGCTGCAACTCATTAGTGCAACGGGTAAGAGCTACTGAAGACCAAGGTCACGGGTTTGACTTTGGTTTGGCTTTATTCCATCTCAAGGCCACCTCTGACCTCGGTCATTTTGCAAATATGTGCCATTGGTCACAGTAGGGACTTGGTTACAGACCATCCCCACTATTGGAGACAAACACGTCTGTGTTATAGTGAAAAAAATGCACTCTTAAAGTTCAATCTTGGCTCCCCCACTTACTGCCCAAATGACCCTGAGCAAATCAGTCCATTTTTCAGAGCCTCAGTTCTCCA